TTCTGGCTCCTCTCCCTAGAATCTCACATAACAAACTTGCAACAGCGCATCACATGGCTATCCAAGACTGACCATTCGTTCACGCTCTCTGACCAAAGAACTTGGGAAACCTATGTGTAACAGCACCACCTGTTGACACCTGCTGTGACTGTGTCTGGGACGCTGGTCATGCAGCCAGCCCCCAATGATGTCAGTGGGACGCTGCTCAAGCAGAGAGGCCTGCCTGCAGGAAGCAGCTTGCAGGGTCAGGGCACAGGCACCTGTTCGATGGAGAATATACAGTTTCTGAGCACTGTATGGACAAATAAGGGCCTGGTTTTCAGAAGTACTGAGGGTTCACAACCCCAAATCAGTGGAAACTGTAAGTCCTCAGGTGTCTTATGTTTTTCTTACTCTGTGATTTGTAAGTGTAGAGTGAGGTTCCCTGCACTAGCCTGTATGTTACACTTTACATTGATAAATGTGGCTTTTTAAATTATGTTCCCTAAGAAGAGCGATTTTATGCAGACAGGTTTCAGAGTAACAGCCGTGTTAGTCTGTATTCACAAAAAGAACAGGAGGACTTGTGGCACCTTAGAGACTAACCAATTTATTTGAGCTCAAATAAATTGGTTAGTCTCTAAGGTGCCACAAGTACTCCTTTTCTTTTTATGCAGACAGAGAGGAATCAGTATGCATTTTAATGGGTGCTGTCAGGAAAATTATTGATTACTTTACTAATGATTTTGAAATTGTCATTATGTTAAGTCCATCAGGGCTTTTTGTATGGCTTTGCCAAGAACTCTTGCATATCCTCCATTCTTTTTTTCATCTAAAACATTTTCACCTACCACATCAATGCAAAGCAAGATCTGCTCCATGTTTGGTAACTGTTTCGTCTGTGCATAAAAACGATTTCAGCGATGATGATACATGGAAAAAGTTCTTTTGTTTTGTTTTTTTCAGCCATCACTTGCGCAGTTATTGATGTCATTATAAGCATGAAGGACAAACTTAATAGACTTTTGACTATATCAAACAGTGCAAGAAATCATACCTGTTGTTCTGCTTAGTGATTTGTGGTGTTTGTACTAAGTTATGAAAAGCAAGGCATCTAATGCCAGTCAGCTTAACAGAAAGTTTTAGGTTGCAGTACTGAGCACTCAAGTCTAAAACAAGGGCAGAAAGCCAAAATATGTAACTGATCTCTGATTTGGTTCCAATTCCCAGGTCCAGCCAAGTTCCACTGGACCTGACGGGTGGCTTTATGCTGCCTTTGTGTGCCTCCATTCTGGGACCTGCTGGGGGGACCAATTGAGCCCTTCACATACATTAGAGCAGCCTCAGGGCTGCTCTAACCTGCACCAGTCTGCCTATGGAGAGTACATAAGAGATGAAGAATGAGAAAGAAGATTTCTTTCAAAGAGAAGACAAACCTAGGTAGAGGGGACACAAGAAGAGCAGTTGGAAAGTTAGTTTAGCCAACAAAGTTTGAAAGAAGCTGGAGTGGACTAGGAATGGACTAAGGGGGCTGGATGTAGACAATAAATAAGGAACCTCTGTGATGACACAGTTATTTTGTTACTTTATTTGCATATTTTGTTCTGACTCACGTTCCGGCTCAGGATGGAGCCTGGGCCCTGAGACTCAACCCACCCTCAGAATTTCAGCGCCCAGGCTCCAACCTGCACCTGAAGGTCTACACTGCTATTTTTACCACTGCAATGCAAGCCCTGTGAGCCCAATTCAGCTGATGTGGGCTCTGAGATGCACTGTCAGAGCTCTCTCTTCGTAGTGTAGACAAACACTCAAACAGAAAGCAGACTCCTTCGCTGCTTGCCATAGCTCCCCCCAAAGAAATGAACATCACAAAACCAGTGCCAGATTTCCAGTTAAGCACAGTAGGCACATGCCTAGGGGCACCAGCATTCTAGGGGTGCCTAAAAGTGGGTTAAAAGTTTAATTTGTTATGGAAAACACGAAGGTCAGCTGAAGGCAGGGGGTGCGCTGAAGATGCTGTGCCTAAGGGCGCATAAGGTGTAAATCCAGCCCTACACAAAACTAACCGCAGAATATTTCTTCAGGTTTGCTATAGGCCCACACACTCCAAAAAAGGCCTGTGTGTAACAGCACCATCAGGGGACTTCTGCCAGGACAGTGTTAATGAATCTTTTCCATAGCCATTGTTTTTTCATGTGAACTTTCTCTGTCACCTACTTTGCACTGTATTAGGTGCATTAGAAAACAAAACTCTGGAAAGTGGCCAAGGCCTCCAGTAAGGTGATGCCAGGTTTTGATGTTAGTTTATTGGTTCTCTAGCTGTGCTCTGTGCATGTTCTAAGGCTTCAGACTCATGTTGTTGCTAGAACAGCAAATTCAGTAATAGCAGGGAAACAGTCTTAAGTAGCTAGTCTGGATAAGAATGTGGACGTATAGGTCAATTTCCACATTAAGGCCCATGACAAAAATATAATCAAAATCATTTTGGTTTGAAAAACAAATGTATTGTTTTAAAAAAAATAGCCTACCACCATTGATGCTTTCTCCACTTCCTCCTGCCTTAGCTTTCAGAAAGAATCTATCTCCTTTGAATTTCCAGAGTGTGAAAGCATCATATGGAAACCTATAAACTACTAGCTTCAAGAGAGACATCTTTAAAATCAGACTTGAATGACTGACCATTGTCATATGCATGTGTCTGGTGATAAGCTGCCATTTTCATTTGTATGGCTGGTTAGCTTAAGCATTCTCTGTTAGCTTCAAGGGGGTGAGTGGTTTGTTTGTTTGTTTCAAGTTTCAAATGTCAGCCGGGAGCCTGTGGCTTTTTGCAGTGAGGTCACAGAGTCCCATGCTTACTAAGAGACCTAGGCTGCCCCAAGCTTTCTGAGCATTACACACCAACCTAATATGGAAACCACAGCAAAATGCACCACTTAAAAATAATGGGAGAGCAGTGGCAGAACTGTTAGCTGAGGCTGTAATAGCCCAACCTAATGCAGGTAAACCTGAATTTTCACAAAGCATTAAATACATAAAGGCAGAGACAAAGGATGGAAGTAGGTTAAGTGACTGTTTTACAGGTAAATGGCTCCCGTCTCCAAAAGAGATCCTTGCCTGCCAACCAGGTTTTAGCTCTTTATAAAGGTTATTTTACCAGATCCTCACTCCTGTGAAGAGTAGTTGGTTGCAGTTATCTCTCTCAGTAATGGCTTTTCACTGTGAGAGTCAGGGTAGCAAGCCTTTCCCAAGAGTGGGATTTGAGGGGAGGGTGTGGGGTCAGAAGATTCGGGGCTCACATGTCAAAGGGGAGCTTGGCCTGTGGCATCCTGGCAGTTCTGAGTCTGGTGTCAAGGGCCACCATGGCCATGCACGTTGGGCCAAATCCCAACGTCCTTATTTAGGGCCTATTCTCTTCCCTCCCTACGAGAGAGAATTCTGCGAGCCTCAGCTGATGGGGACCTTGCTTCCAAGCTTTTCTGTCGGGAGGGCACAGTTTGCTCCCGGAGGATAAACCTGAGTATCATGTCCTTGACCTCAGATCCCTTCAGATCTGCTGGGATCTGCAGTTGAGGAGAGGTTTTGGTTCTTTCTGATCGCTGTAGAGCTACAGTACCAGGGCTATCGCAGACTATTCCGTAAAGGGATGGGGATCTCCCACACAGAGAGAGGGGTACAAAGTGCAAACTAATGCAAGCCTCACATGTTCCCCACAGGTGGGGGCCCAAACAGCTTCCTTCTCCTCAGCGATCCCTCCCAGCTCTGGAGAGTGGGACCCTCTGGAGCCCACAGGCTTGAGGGGATCAGGGGGCAGACTGCAGAGATGAAACGCCTCTCCTTCTGCAGGGCTTGGAGTGAGGAGAATGGGGCCCTGGAGGGAGCAGCATGGGGCTCTCAGTTTTTACTCCGTGTTTACTTAAGCAAAGCTCCCATTGTCTTTGGCAGCCATTTCTACTGAGTGAAGATTTCAGCACTCAACCCAAACTTGTGCACAGCGATGATCACAATGATCCAGCAAGAGCCAGAGACCAAAGTGCCCACCAGATCTCCTGGTGACACTGGCCAGGCCCACAACAGGATGGGTGGACTAATGAGGCAGGCTCTCAGGGGAATGTGAGGCTGGGAACTGTGCTGATTTTTAAAGGGCCATAGACTGGTCACTCTCTGTGGAAATACCTCTGTCCTGTGTGAATGTCCAAACTGGCCCATCAGAGTGAAGGCCAAGCAGCCCCAGCCAGCACTCCCCATTGGATTTAGGGTCCATGGAAGGAGGAAAGGTTGGGACCTCGGGGCCTCTGTCCTACCAGGCGTTTCAATTCCATGACAATGTAGACACCCTGGAGGTGACTGAGACATTAGTACTGCATGTGTGAACGTGTGTATGTGCACACACATTCTATACAGAGCCCAGAGCAGGGCTTTCAGATGAAAGGTCCCTTCCATCTTCTCAGGCCTTCTGCTTTTCTGTCTCACACTCTGATGAGCCTGCTGCTCATTCTCCACTTTTCTTGGCTTTGACTGGGGCAGATTAACTCGAGACCCTATTAATCAGTGAGAAAGGGACCCTGGCATCCTTGTGCGGGATTCCATATGCTTCACCTCTCTTCCTCCTTGGGGACATGGCTCGGGGGCAATCTCCTCCATTCCCCAGAGAGGGTTACTGTGGCAACGGCCACGTATATTTCACATATCATGAAGATCCAGAGGTGCAGCATGTGAAGAACACAGATCAAATGCAATCATAGGGCCAGTGGAGTTAATTCCATACCAGCCCATGGAGTTTGCCCTACTTATCCCAGATGTGACCTCAGCCCCGTAGTTCCCAGGATGCATTTCAGTGTTATTCCTGAGCCTTATTGTAGAATGCTGTGGGATGCTGTGTGGCTGCCCCCTGAGATAATTACTTGATGAGTCTTTACCCAAACTAACTTCCTTTTGATGTTTCCATCCTCCCTCCTGTTTCTCCTTTTCTTTACTCTCCCTTTCCCCCCTTACTCTTGAATCTCTATTCTTCTCTGTTTCAGCAAAACGATATCAGTCAAAATAATTGATGATGAGGAGTATGAGAAAAACAAGACCTTCTACCTTGAGATTGGGGAGCCCCGTCTGGTGGAGATGAGTGAGAAGAAAGGTGGGGGATCTGCTCTGAGGCTGAGCTCAGCCTGCGTGCACCTGTCCTGATCACTCATGGATGCCTGGCACTTTCCAATACATGCAATCTAAAACATGCCTTCCTCTATCTATGTCAAAGAGCAGGAGTCAAGTGACTAGGGCCTGGAGCTGAGAACCTTTGTTTGCACTTTGGACTCCAATTTCAGTTTTCCATACTTAAATTCAGACATTATGGGCCTGATCATCAACTGGCGTAGATCAGCATAGCTCCATTGACTTCAATGGAGCGATGACGGCTTACATCAGTCAAGGATCTGGCCTTTCATAAGTTGCTGGGGTGCTGCTGTTACTTAAATGCAAAACCAGTCCACCTCCTGTTAGGGCTCAGATACTTGGCACAGAGCTATGAATAAAATCCAGATGCAGATTGACTGCAAACAAAGCAACCAAACCCTCTGGCGTTCGGATTTCCTTTTCCATGTAACACTTATGTGCTACATGAACAATAGCTCCTCACAATGTAAACCTATCTACTTCATTTCAGAGTTAAATTTGTGGAGTGGCTCCTTTTTCAGAATGAAACAGCCTAGGTGCAGCGATGGACTTTCTGCTCTTTTACATAAGTAACTGAGGCAGATGTGCTCCTCTCTTCGTATCATCTCGGTAACCATCTCGCCTGGTTGAACTTAAAGCATGAGTGTGTGACGCCAACCATTTGTTTTGCCTTTGTCTTGTGTTCCCACAGGAAATTCATTACCCTTAAAATACTTGACCGTGAGGAGTATGAGAAAGAGTGCAGTTTCTACCTTGTGCTTGAGGAACCAATATGGCTACGAAGAGGAATGAAAGGTGTGAGAGTAAAACCCAGACAAACTCTCGAGAAATTGTAGTCTGCTCTCTCTGTCTCCCTACTCTCACACTTGCTCTCTCCTCGCACTTGGCTTCCAAATATTTTGCCATATCTCCTCTCAAGCTTAGCAACTTTTCCTTTTTTATTGTTTGGCGGGTGTCACTCTGGTCCCACTGGCTAGCTCCCACTGAAGCAGGGTTGGCACTAAATACAAACTGACTTTTTTTGTCAAGTGTTCATCTGTGAACTGCTCCCACTTGTGAGGCAGTAAATGAAAACAATCCAGTGAATAAATCACTAGGGGTTCATATCCTCTCCACGCTAGCTAGGGAGAGACAAGCTCACACACACTGTAGAGGTGCTGTCAACCAGGAGTTTATAGCAGCGTCTAGCCCCCACAAAGTGATCACAAACACCAGAGTGGGTCTGAGATTCCACCACATGCAATGGGGGAAGACAAAGTGCAAATCCTAAACTGTCAATTGCTATTGCAATAGTATCACAAATAAAGACATTTCAGTTGTGTATTTAAAATATACAGCACTGAAATTGCGTATATAAATATCCTTTTAATCTAGGAGAAAACAGTCTCTTTTTTTAATTAAAAAAGGATACTGCATCATTTTTAGCAGGAGATAAAGTAGACCCTCTGTTTAAATAAAAATCACATTCTTAACACAATATTTTTAGCTTTTTTACACTGGTAATGAGAATACAATGAGATCTGAAGGTAGGTCAAAATCAGATAATTCCAGTAGGACGTCTGCAGTCAGGATTTCACCCAGTGGATCTGGAAGTAAATAGATAAAATGCACTGAAAGTACAGTGACATGGACATTCCGCTGAATCCTCATAAGAGTGATGAAATCAGTTTCCATCACACAAAATAAAAACATTTCTCTAAAGCAACTGCAAACATACTCATAAAAAGAAAAGGGCTGCTAATTTTTCTAAGCAGTTTCTTTTCTTAAAAAGGTAACTTAAAATGAATGGATATAACTCATTTCATGAATTATTGATGGCTAATTAGGACATTACAGCAATAACATAATTATCCTGAATAATTAGTTGCAACACAAAACATTTTTTTTTAACAACCCAAACATTGTTAGCAACATTTTGTCTCTTTGGTTCCCTGTTTAATTTCTAGGAGATATCTGCTCCTTAAGAATCATCAGATTGTATTATAATATTATTAATATTATCATACATTTAGGCCCTGAATCAGCAAAGCACCTGAGCACATGCTTAACTTTTGAGTCCCAGGGTTAGTTTATACCAGATCGGGTAAGAGGTGACTTGATCATGGTCTGCAAGTACCTACAGGGAGAAGAGATTTCTCATAATAGATGATTCTTTAATCTAGCAGAAAAACGCATAGCAAGCTCCCATGGCTGGAAGCTGAAGCTAGACAAAATGAGACTAGAAATAAAATGCACATTTTTAACAGTGAGGGTACTTAACTCTTGGAACAATTTACCTAGGGATGTGGTGGATGGAGTCACTTGATGTCTTTAAATCAAGGCTGGGTGTCTTTCCAAAAGAGATTCTATAGCTCAAACAGAAGGCAGAAAGCATTGGGCAAGGTTCTCTGGCCACGCTTTATGGGACATCAGACTAGATGATCATAATGGTCCCTTCTAACCTGCAGATCTCTGAATCTAAGACTTAGGCACATTGTTATCTGCTTTGCTGAATGGGGGCCTTAGCAAACTGGTGTTTGCGGAACACTCCATAGGAATTTACAGGGGCAGCTGGAATAGTGGCGTTAGCTCCCCTGTGCCCTCTCTGTGTGAAGTTGGAGACTTGGGATAATATAAATATAGATCTCATAGCCCTTCCCCCCACCCCCATCCAGCCTTGGCACTCATTAATTGACCCCTCCATGCTAGCCTGTTAGGTCCCACCGTGAAGTCCACCTCTACATCACATGGGGCATGCTGGGTCCTTTCATCCAGCACATCTACCCTGTGCCCTGCTCCCAACCACAGTGCAGGACAGCAGTGGTGCAGAGGGCATTGCTTGGGCTCCCCACACCTTGTGGCATTTCACCCCAAAGAAATAAATAGGCTTCCCTTCTTATAGACTAAATCCATTCATTTGCTGACTACCCCCTGATCCAGCAAAGCATGTAAGCATGGCCCTGATTCAGGAAAGCATCCCTGTTCAAGACGGCACTTAAGCATGTGCTTAAAGTTAAGGGTGTCCTTAAGTGCTGTCCTGGATAGAGATGGGCTTCAGCACAAGTGTGGGTCAGGGCCATGTGTGTCACATGTGAGTAGTCCCAAGGGGGCTGTTCACAGGCTTAGTTTCATACATGCTTAAGTGCTTTGTTGGATCGAGGTCTAAGATGACTTCATGTATATCAAATGGTAGTGCATTTAGTCTGAAACACATACTATTTATTTTAGTTCCTTTTCCCCCGTAGGCAAGAAAAAAATACCCCTTATTACAGAAAAACAAATGAATAGGAAATGTATATTCACTGGTAGCTGTCTAATTTTTAAAAAAATAATTAAGCTTGTTAATATAAAAGAAAGAGGAGAATAATCTGGATTAGTTTAATAAATTACACAGATAAGAAATTCAGTTCAGTCCGATTCATCTTTACTCAAGGAAATGCATGATTTTATCAGGCTCAAACAATTCTGCCTTTGGAAAAACTAACTTTTGTTCACACAGTGAGTTGTTCAGTGCTCTAAATCCAGGCCTTTCTAGCAGCTGGGTACATTTTTAGTCCTGTTCAAAGGCGCAGCTTTCTCAGAGTGCATTCATAGGAGAACGAGGGGGAAAGGGATGGATGCAATTTTGTGCTCAGTGAGCGCATTCATCAGGCGGTCTTAGAGCACAGGGATCAGCCAGACACCTCTGCTGCCATCTCGCAACGTTTCCTAGTTGGTTAGTTGCATTGGCACGGCCGTGCATAAGAAGGCAGCCAGAGCCAGCGTGCTTGGAGCTGAATCCACCATACACTAGCCAGAGCTCAGGAGTGATTCAGCCAGTCCTCAAGTGCTACAGCACACCTAAGAGGAGGGAGTCTGCCTGCTCTGCATCTGCCAAGCAGTATTCCCCAGCCAATTTATGCCACTTGCGCCTAGAGGGACCAGTGAATTGCCCCATGGTGCTTGTGGAGTACTGGGGAGAGCCCAGCTGTTGCTCACCAGCAGCCTTTAGACAAGGTAAAACTTGCTATTCCTCCAACCTCCCCACATGCTTGGAGTTCCCAAGGGAAGGTGAACTATGGCCACACCCCAGCTCCACTCAAAGACAAGGCCTTGTAACATTCGGTGCTGCTGGGCATGAGAGCAGACGCAGACACACACACCTTCCCAGGTACTGGGTGAGCAGTAGCTGCATCCTTGTGGCTGCCTCCTGCATGAGAGCACTGGGCTCCCTGCTCCCTCTCTGGCCTAGCACGCTGAGAGGAGAGAAGCTGCCATTACCTAGCACTAGATGGATTCCTCAGAGGGGCTACATTTATCCCAAGAGAGAACATTGCCCACGGACCTGCATTCCGTTGACAGATGGATGCCCTATGTGATTATGAGCTCACGGAAAATTCCACTAAATCTGACACAGTAACACAATGCAATAGAATCCCAGTGAGTGGGATTTGCATCACGAGCAGTACTAGGGAAATCTACTATTGGAATCATTTCGTGTCACCAAAATAAAATTAACCATTGACACTAAAAGCTATCCATTGACTTCATTTGGCGCTGCATGAGCGCAGTGTTGTCCACTCTCATGGTTTTATCATAAATCGGATCATCTGGAGGGTTTTTAAAGCTCTCGCTGTTGGAGTCATGTGATGACATGAGGCTCTCAGCTTTCATTTTATAAAACGTAAGTTTCTAGCTCTCATGGTTGCAGGGGAAAGCTTGAAAATGTGAAGCCAAGTAAAGTCTTAGTAGCCAGAAGGCAAATAACAAGAGCCAAAAATGTATTAGTCTTTTTAAAATCTCATGATTTTTAAACCAGTTTTTGAGGACTGACTTATGATTTTTGAACTCTTGGGGCTAGCAATACTGTGAGCTCAGCTTCTGAAATCAGGCCTACGTGTGCCAAAAATTAAGATACCTAAAATCAGCAGCTGATTTTGAAAATATTGGCCTGATCCTCTCTGCTTCAGTTCCCCTTCCTTTGAAAAGTGTTGATCTTACTACCTCTCCAGGGTATTGCTAGAAGTAATTAGTCAGAATGTTCAGTTCTTCAAAGATCCAGAGTGCTACCTGAATGCTAAATGACAGTTGTTTTTTATCAGGGCTTAAACTGTCATTTTGCTAAATGACAGGATAAATACTGTATTATGTTTGGTGAGTCAAGCCCTAGCACACACTGTACTTCTTTCATTCTACATTCCCTGTAGAAATCAGGCCATCATGTAATTATTATTTTCCATTTAGACTATTAGAGGAAGTACAAGAATCCAGCAAACAGCCCTTACACCCATATTTTGGGACATATTCTTTCCTCAATCTATGGCAGTACTGCCATTGATGTCGTTGGGCGCTCCATGAATTTATGGCCCAAAAGGGGGAAATGAATTTTTTAAAAGTTTGTCTTTTGTATCTTATTACTGTATGTGACATTTTTTTCTTTTAATTCACAGCCCACGCTCATGAAATGTTTCTGTTCCGTTATTTTCAGTGCTCTTTTCTGGGTACCAATGGTATCCGGAAACTTTACAGATTTTCATTGTCTGGGCCTGGGAGCTGGAGTCTTTCTGTGGATTTTCCTTTTAATTTCATTATTCATTTACTTTTCTTCTTCTATGTTTGTCTCTGTCTGTCTCCTTCACAGCCCTGTTGTTGAATGAGCTTGGTAAGCGCTGCATTTCTTGTATTTCTTTTCCATTTTCCCAATGTGTCCGTATATTGGTGGAAGATGATGATTTTATTTGACTTTTCGATTTGCTCACAAGAATCTCTTTTAAGGTTGTTAATACCATTTTACTAAGCCCAGGTAATTGAGATCATGTTCTTCTTTGAGTATCTGTTCCAAAAATTGTTAGCTGAGACTACCGTGACCAGAAAGCAAGTGTAAAAAACCGGGACAGGGGATAGGGGGGAATAGGAGCCTATATAAGACAAAGCCCCAAATATCGGGACTGTCCCTATAAAATCGGGACATCTAGTCACCTTAGCTGAGACATGAACACTTGTGTTAAAGGAGGGACAGTAGCTAAAATCATAATTGAAAGTGGCATTAATTACAATGACAAGGGAGCCTAAGGGGGTTATGAACAGCATTTCACTGGGATTTGGACAGCTAGCTCCTTTGGAAATCCCAGACAACAAGCACATTTAGTGGATACGTTCAATACAACTGACTCCTCAGGTTTACTACTATCCTTTGGGTTGATTTCACTGGGCCCTATGCACTAATTTGTAGTAAAAAGATGTGGAAAGCACTAAGTCTCAGAAATGTACAACAGAACTGAGCTGTGCAAACTAATTCATATCCCGTTACGTAGGTGTAAGAAACAGAATGTTTGTAGTACCTGGCAACGGTCGGACCAGAATACGTAGGGCTTTTTGTGGTGAAATTATCCACAAGAGCTATTCCACAATAACTCCCCCTGAGCACATTCTTATTCAGGAATCAGTGTGTGCACAAGGGGAGCTATTCCAGAATAGCTACAGCATTTTAAACTCCCTTCCTTATAACTTCCCAGTGTAGACAGACCCTAACTCCGTATATTCAGAAAACTCTGCATGCTGTTTTGAGGGAGGTATGGCATGTTGCCTTCTTAGAGCACACTTCAAAACCAGCCTCCAAATTTGGCATACAAGCTATCCCAAGCAGGAGATCCACAAACACATAAGATGGGGATGTGGGGGGAGTCCAAGCAAAGCTAAAGCGTTCTGCAGGCTACCTTGGAAAATCAAAGCCCAGGCCTTATCCAAGGCTCACTGGAATCGATGGAAAGGTTCTCACTCATTTCTGTTAGCACTGGACCATTGCAGAAAATGCTGCTGTGGGCAGTAGTAACTCGATATGAGCCGAACTTCTCCCTGGCTGTGGGTAAATGAGGAATGTTTCCAGGGATGTTTGAGCTGTCAGGGGCTTGGTGGAAATGGTGGTGAGAGGGGCTTTCCTCTTCCCCAGCATTGTATCCATCCCTCTTGAATAGCCCTCCATTTAGTCCTAAAGCTACCCAGCTGCAGCATGGATTTGGTGCATCATGCCCTCTCATGCCCACCCCAGTGCTGCTTTTATTGCTGAAAATGTTTTCACACCAGAAATAAAGACTCATGGGAGTGAGGCCCTAGGAAGAGAAACTTGCTCTTAATGAGAGGATCCTGCATCATTTTGAGTTTTGTGCATCTGTCCCTCTGGGCTGTCTCCCACACTGAGCCCTGCACTCAGGCCAGACTGGGTTGAGAGGTGGGATAGTAGCCGTTGGGTTTTTGATCTTTTCCGTTGTGTGATTCTAGCCACCGTCACCTCCTAGAAATGCCATCTCTCTCGTGCCTGGTTGGCAGGGAAGGAGGAGATTTGCACAGCTCAGCTTTGTGGTGTATCTTTAAAGTTCTCGCACTTCCCACACTGGAGTTAGATTGGCCGCTACTGGGGTAGAACCTGCCAGAGCGGACCTAGGAGGCATGTCCCTCCCCAGCCCCAAACCACACCCCAAGGGGGTCCTCCATGGGTGGATAGGAGGGCTAACCATGTCCACAGCACCAGCCCTACCTCCAGTCTGCACCCCATTGAAGGCTCTCCACTAGTCCAGAATCTGTGCTGCACATGGGAGGAGACTGGGTAGTACAAGGGTGGGGCCAGGGAAAACCACATCTCCACACATCCCCTGACCCTGTGAATATATAGCTGGAGCTGTGCTGTCTCTTCAGTGGAGTCCTCCAGGACTAATTTGGCTGCTATGAACAGTGGGGATTTCCAGGGGACTGAGCAGCTGCTGAGGAGGCAAAGGGTCTCTGTAGGATTGGCGCTGGCATCCTTCAGACTCCACGGGATCCACAGTGCCGGGGGGCGGGGTGGAGGCTGGTCCCTGGGTCAGTCCCTGGGCCTACTGAGCAGCTGTCCCTTCGATTCTGGGGTGGCTTTGTGGAAAAGAGATTGTTCCAGGAGGTGCTATCTTAAGCCATGTGGGGTGGGAGGGAGGCTGGCATGCATCCGCCCCATAGGCCTGCTGTCTCCTGGCCCCCTGCAGCCCAGTCTCCCCCACGCACCCATTCAGAGCCCCACATTCAGAGTGGAGCGCACTACACAAGGCCCAGCAGAATGTGGGGGGGGAGACCATGGCACTCCATGCAGACCCCGAGCCAGGGGACAGTCCCTGCTAGAAATGGGAGACAGGAGTTGTAGTGAGCTGTTCCTCTGCGGATTACACTGTGGCGGGAGCATGTGGGCCACTGCTTCGGGGGGGGGAGGCTGCTGCGAGATGAATGTCACTGTGATGCAAAAATAGATGCTAATCTGCTTTCTCTTTCTCTCTCTCTTTTTTTGTTTTGTGGTTCGTTTAGGTGGCTTCACAATAACAGGTATGGATTTCTGATTCCCTCCTTGCCCCGTGCCACTGTTCCTCTCTGCATTGTTAACTGCCGGGTGCTCATTCTGCTCTTTTCTCTTTATTTCCTGTTTGTTTTTTTTAATGGAGGGAAACTTCTGAATGGTAAGAAAGCGCTGTTTAGTGTCCTGGCCACCTACTCCGAGCCGCTAGTGTTAGCACGGCACCGTCTAACAGCAAGTGATGTGTCTTTGTCACCAGCTTAACCTCACGTGTGTTTCACAGTAATCCCCGTTCTTTAGCTGCAGTGATTACAGCATGTACCAGGAGACTCTGCCTCAGTGCGGAACTCACAGCCCTGGGGGAGGAAGGGCAAAGGGGGTGAAATGGACCCCAGCCTGGACAGCCTGAGAGGCTGCACTGAATTAGGACAGCTGTCCTTGGGCTGCTTAGCCACACAGCCCCTGGGAACTCCAGCACTCTGCGCCAGGCCAGCATACTTCTGCACAGGGACATGCGGAGGGCAGCCTCTGGCTGCTGTAGCCAGTGCCTGCTGCAGGGGGATTTTCTCCCAGGGCCTGTCTGCTCTGTAGCTGGAAGGGGAGGTTTCCTGCTCAGGGAAACCTGCGCACTGACTAGCAGTGTAGCTGTGGCAGCGGGAGGGGCTAGCTGTCAAAGGATGCACCTAGGCTTTCAGAGGGACTTGTGCCTGGGGAGAGTGTAGCACAAGCTCCCTCCAGGATTACGCTGCAATTTTTAGCTCGCTAACTCAATCAGAGCTAGCCCATGTGGAGACTACGCTGGGAGTTACTCTTTGCAGCTCCAGTGTCGACAACCCCCCAGTCTGCTAAATGACTTCCCTCAATCCACGTGCAGTCTCAACTACACTCTTCACAGCCATCAGCCATCGGGGGGGCGAGCCTAAGGCATGGACCAAAATGTGGGGCCTGCTGGTACCTTCGCCACGCCCCTCCCGCATGAAGGGGATGTCAGCCACTTCTGTGGCAGGACTGGCCCCCAGGCCGTGTGTCCACAGTCCCGCCGCCATGCTCCCAGGGAAGAGGGGAACGCAGAGGCAGTAGGGAGGCATGGGTCTTCCACTCGGGTTGCCCTGGCCTCTCGCTCATTCCTGGGGTTCATGTGAATCCTGGAGCACTCCCACATAGTTTGGGAATCAGCCCTGCAAACCCCATATGTCCCTTACAGATCAGGGAGTAGCTAGGCCTGCCCATCCCATGGGTTTTCCCTACAAGAGGGGGCAGCTGGAGCCAGCGTTGTTGTTCCTAAGTGCAGGCAGTGTGCATGGTGCTACACAAGACACCAGTACACCATTGCCTGCCTGGAGAGGTATGGCCAGACTCCACAGAAGGACGGTGATTTGATCCCTGTCCCCAGGTATGGGGTGATATGTAACTGCATTTCTCTGTCAGCAAGAACAGTTGAGGGGGTCTGCTTCCCTATTATCAGATAGAGATTAGTGAGAAATGGAGAATCAATCATCTTCTGTAATTCCCAATGTCAGTCTGTCGGCAATCAGTTTTGCAGATACAGCTGATTGTGAAATAAAGCTACTTGGCTGCAAGCTGCCAAGAAACGCTTCACTGTTTAAAATGCCGCTCCGCAAGGATGCCTGAGAAATCAGTTCTCCCCATCTGGTGTTCTGGATACTGGTTCCCTCCTCAGGGAGTGGACAAGGCAGGAATGGTTCCTCATGGATCATTGCTGGGGTTTGAATGGCAGAGCCAGGGCTGCTGTGGTACAGCTGGGGAGCAGCAGGCTTTGTGCTCTTGGCTGTATAGACTCGATGTGTGATTGTTAGCCCATCAGAAATGCAAGCCATGTATGAAAGCATGTTCAGATGAGTTCCTGCAAACCAAGTTACATGAACCAGGGAACCATCTCTGCACTAAAGATACTCCTACTCCATCCTGCCACCACCTGGCATAGAACTAGGGACTTCATGCCACCTTTGCACCTCCCCATGTTCTGGGGTGTCCAATGGCCTGCCCAGACCTCAGCTTAAATTACAACAGCCCCACATCTGCTCTAATTTACCCTTGGCTGCAACAACACCATAGGGCCACAGTATCATCTGAGAGTAGCTGGAGTACCAAAGCACTTCAGCCATGTTCTCTTCCCCAGCAACTGTCTGTGCTAGGGGCTGGGAGAAAAGACCAATTACGGCAGCTCTGTGCCCTCCAGGGAAGACCCTATGCTGGGGTATTCCCCATCATGGAGATTTGCTGCCTTCACAGACCATTTGTGCTGCCAGAGAGGCTTCAAGGGGCAATGGAGAATTGGGCTCAGTAAGCGTAAGAATAGCAACAAATAATTAGACAAGCATGCCGGTGTATTCACAGGGTTGTATGTGAGCCATGCATGCAGTACCAAATTTCTGCACTTGTCCAACAAGGGAGCAGACACACATGCCTCCTTGGTTAATGTACACCTTACAAGTGTTGCTCGGGTGTTAGCTCTGCATTAGAGAAGAAGAGCCATCAGTCTCCCCCTTAGTACTAGCAGAGCACGGCAAACAACTGTGACTCTGCATGAGGAGGGGTTCAGAGGGCCAAGCTCAGACGTGGGAAACTATTTTTAGCTAACAAGGTACTTCACATACCTCTGATCTCCCTGATGGCTTGTCTGAAAAGCACACGCAGAATCAGATTCTGAGGAGCCAGCCCCAAATTGGGACAGTTAAAAAAAATTAAATAACATCACATACAATTTTCAACATTTTTCCAGTGTAACTGAGATTGAACTTGGCCAACTGGGCTGGAAATAGATGTCCATAGCTTGCCACCATGGCTATGAGGGTAAACTCTTGGATCACTTCTCTCTGGCTCTGCTTTTTCCCATTGGTACAGGAGAGCAGACAAGAGTGTCTGCAATGGGGATTTAAAAACAATAACCTTGTGTGAAATAGAAATAGAGTTCACTAACATCACCGAGTCATCGTGATCCATTCACTCATCTTCTGCCCATCACTTTGTTAGGCAAGCCTGTCTTCAGGAAGGTCCATGCTAGAGAACATCCAATTCCTTCTACTGTAATCAGCATTCAAGGTATTTTGACTTGGTTTTCTAGGACCACAATTTAATTAACACGAAGCGAAAGCATTTGCGTGTTCATGTACTGACACTAGAGTCATTTGTTTTAATGCATTTCTCTCTTATACTGTGTTCAGGGAATACAGAGTTTCAGTACCAAGGTCTGCAATGAGCTGTGTGCCAGGGGGATTCTGTTCTTGGGTGGAGTTGGCCGAAGTAACTTCAGCACCTTCATTTGACTTCTTGGGGAGACTCAGTAGGGATCACAGATTGATAAAGGTTCAAGCACAAAGGGACCACTAGATCATCTAGTCTGACCTCCTGTATACCTCGGGTCACAGAATTCCATCAATTACTCCTGTATTGAGCCCAATGACGTAGGGTTGACTAACGCAGGCCTTCCAGAAAGGCATCCAGACTTGATCTGAAGACTTCAAGAGATGGTGAATCCATCTCTTCACTTAGTGCTTTGTTCCAGTGTTCAGTCACCCTCACTGTTAAAACTTTGGACCTTGTTTCTAATTTGAATTTGTCTGGCTTCAACTTACAGGCATTGGTGGTTCTGCCTATTCTCTAAGCAATGTTTGGCTGAAGCAAGTGATAGATTCTTTCACCTTTCACTCTAGGCTAACAAAGTTATTAGCCTGGGAACTTCTTTAGCTTTTTAAAATGCTGAATAATTGTTCAGTGACAGGAATCCACGTAGACCTTGCCCAGACTCTGATGGATTCCTTCCCAGACAGCTTCTGTATCCATGTGCTGCGTCCTTCCTCACCTCTCTCACCTCGGATCCGTTGTCCCCGTGTCACTTGCTCCCCTTCCAGAACAGACCCTCTTGCACTACATGTGGTTTCCCAGCAGCATCTCTCCACCCATTAAAGCAAACCTCTTTACAAAATAGCTGTCAGGACAGGTACCATTTGCAAAGTTCCCATGGAGACACAAATGCTTTGTAAAGGGCGCATCACGCAGATGGGTGTGTCCAGCTGAGGTGGGTATCAGTAAAACTCATGTGTGTCTTATATACACTTAAAAAGATAATGGGCCAATGCTTCTCTGCTGCCTTGCACCTTATGTCAATATTTACATTAGGGCGAAGTGAATATAAAGTGCTAACAGATCAGATTGGCCGTAGGAGGTACAAGGCAGTGGAGAGTCACAGCCAGTGTGTATACACGTCAAGGCCCACATCCTTAGCTTGTGTAAATCAACATAGCTCCACTAAAGACAAAGTCAGCATTGTAGACCTTAGAGCAAGGCAGGTGTACACCAGCTGAGGATCTGACCTGTGGTGCATACACTTCAGAACATGCATTTAATATCCATGTCTTTATGATGCCTGGTATTTTTCACTGTATAGGTACTTGTATTTTCCTGTTCTGATGATAGCTTTAAATAGCTGTAATTCCTACCAGTACCCCCCATTCAGTTCCAATCACTATTGAGTCCTGGCGAAATTAAGTTCTCAGATGAAACTGTTGCAAAGTTCTAATGAGCCCTGCGAAAGTCTTTGAAAAGTGAACAGCAGGGCTATTTTATAACCCCCTGTTGTTGTTTTTTAATCTCCCTGTGTGATGCCTCCCAAGCTCTCTGGGGAAAATTCTTGTCCTGGGAGGAAGTGTGGCATGGAGAGTTTAAGGGGAGTTGGTTTCTCTTGAGGAAGTCAGATGTTTTATGAGTCCTCCATTATGCACCCGTCATGCCTAGGAGCTGATTCCACCTCCTTGCACCTTCTGAGGGCGGGAGCAGCAGCAGCCAGCTGGCAAGGGTGAAAGGGAGAGAAGAGCCTCCGTCAGCAGCTGTGAGCTCCCCACTCCCTCCCCTCTCCTCCAGTCAGCGCAGAGAGACTATGAGGGAGCAAAGCCCCAGGATCAAGGGTAGTTTTAGGTAGGGGAGGGAGGAGGTAGAGAGCAGGCTGGGAGGATTCACTCCTCCTGCCCCACATCTCCTCCAGTGAAAAGGGGCCTGGCCCAGCCTTCTCCCTGCTATGCCCCCTCCCGTGCTGGGAAATAACATGGCTCCTAGGTAGCTGGGCTCCTCCACAGAGTCCTCTCCTGCTCCTTGAAGGGGAGACAGTGAGAGGAGCTGGGGTCCTGAGCTGCTGCAGCGCCGAGGGAAGGCTGGACCTACAGTAACTGCATTAGCGGAGCAGCCGGGCCTAAGGTAATTGCATTGGGAAGAGGTTCCTGCAGCTCTACTGACTGCATGGTTCAGCCAGGTCTAAGGTAATTGCATTGGGCAGGGCAGGCCTAAATTAAATGCATGGGATGTCTGAATTGTATTTGTTATGCTGAGGGTGGGGCAGAGACCCTCTCCTCAAACCCCATCCCTCCATGCACTCCCTACCACATCTGTAATGGATTGGCACAGTGGTGAGGCATCCGTACAAACAGGTGTTCCAGCTAAAACCATTATAAACTGAGAAGTAAGGCCCTGAAGCAGCCTGTGTGTTAGATTGGCTTGTTCCAGGTGAGTGCCATTATTGTAAACCTTGAGATGTCAGCCACAATGATGGTGAAGGGACAGGAAACTGAAGCAGATTAAAATGCACCAAACCACAAACCCTCCAACACATAGCAGTGTTCTGGAGCATCATGAAAATCTGACAAGGGCTTTTCAATTAATAATTATCCATTTTGAATCTGCAAGAATTTAAACCACAATAATTAAAAGCATGGGTTGTTTGATCCCCATTTCAGAACTGTGAAGATTCTGGTTTGTAGTGGTGAGGTTCTTGATGTGGGTGGGGGAGGAGTATCTGTTCTGTGAGGACAGAAAAAGATGGAAGTAAATATGCAGCCCTGAACATTACCCATAGCTGTGAATATTTTTCCTAAAGGCTGGTTATTTGAGTGACAGCCTGGTCCAGGGGGTAGGGCATGGGACTGGCAGTGAACAGGCTGCAGGTGACCTTGAGCAAGTCACGTCTCCTTTCTGTGCCTCTGTTTCTATTTGTCCATTTGTATTGCAAGCACTTGGAGACAGAAGCCGTTTCTATGTATACATTCAGCTTTCAGCATAACAGGGCCCTGATCTCAGCTGGGGTCTGGGGGTGTTAGTGCAATACACACAAAGAATCATAACAAAGGCAAGAAGTACCATGGAGGTTGGAAATAAGGGTTTAATTTAAAGTGGGCTAATAGATTGGCCTTGACAATAGCCACATAAACAGCTGTGTGTGCCAGCACTTAGCTGCAAGGTAAACTGACATATGGAGCAGCTCCTGGGGACAGGGAGGAGCTAAGACCACAAGGAGACAGGTGGCATCTCAGAATTAAGGGGCAGGATGAATAGTTTCTGAAACCTGCTTGGGTGTCTTAGTAGCAAATTTAAAAGACAAAAGGCAGCTGACCCTCTTCCAAAGAGCCTCCTACTTCTAAAAACAAATTGAAAATGCTGAGGGTTGGTGTTTATCAGGTGAAAGTCCACTCAGGGCCAGGTGGTGTAAGTTGGTGTAGTACCACTGAAGTTGCATAGACAATCTCCACTGAAGTCAGTGAAGTTTTGCTGATTTATACCAGCCAAAGAATCGGCTCTGAAATGTTCCAGATCCAGGGGTTTTTTTTGCCAAACTATTAAACCTAACACTCGTAGGGTTTAAAACTAAATCCTTCCCATCCAACAATGCTGAAGTTCAGGGTTCCAGCCACACTCTGCTGCTTTTGTCTTGCTTGTAGCATTTTCATGTGGTAACATGTTACTGGCAATTAAAACCATTGGAGGTTTTTAAGAGCAGGTTAGACAAACACCTGTCAAGGACAGTCTAGGTTTACCTGGCCCTGCGTCAGCATGGGGGGCATGGTCTAGATGACCTCTTGAGGTCCTTTCCAGCCCTTCATTTCTATGATTCTATGAATACATGCAGAGAGGACTTATTAAGAACATAAGAACTGCCACAGTGGGTCAGACCAATGGTCCATCTAGCCCAGTATCCTGTTTCTGACAGCAACCAGTGCCAGAGCTCCATGAGGAGTGTGCAGAACAGGACAGTTGGAGGGATCCACTTCTGTCTTCCACTCCCAGTTTCTGGTAGTTAGAGTTTTAGTGTCACGCTGAGCATGGGGAGGCATCGCTGACCGTTGTGGCTAGTAGCCAGTGATGGACCTCTCCTCCGTGAATTTATCTAGTGCTTCTTTGAACCCTGTTATGCTTTTGGCCTTCACGACATCCTTTGGCATTGAGTTCCACAGGTTAATTGTGCATTGTGTAAAAAGTACTTCCTTTTGTTTGTATTAAACCTGCTGCCTATTAATTTGATTGAGTGACCCCCTGGATTTTGTATTGTGAGGAAGGGTAAACAGACTTCTCTGTTCACTTTTTCCACACCACTCATGATTTTATAGACCTCTCTCATATCCCCCCCTTAATCTCTTTTCTAAATTGAACAGCTCTAATCTTTCTAATCTCTCTTTGTATCGAAACTGTTCCATACCCTTGATCATCTTTGTTGCCCTTCTCTGAACCCTTTTCCAGTTCCATTATATCCTTTCTGAAATGAGTCAACCAGAACTGCACACAGTATTCAAGGGGTGGGTGCACCATGGGTTTATATAGTGGCACTATGATATGTTCTGTCTTATCTTCTATCCCATTCCCAATAGTTCCTAGCATTATTCGCATTTTTGTGCACTGCTGTGCATTAAGCAGAAGTTTCCGGAGAACTATCCACAGTGACTTGTTCTTCCAGTTTGGTTCTGGTGCATTCACCCGTCCCTTCATAGAAACATAGAATATCAGGTTTGCAAGGGACCTCAGGTGGTCATCTAGTCCAACCCCCTGCTCAAAGCAGGACCAATCCCCAACCAAATCATCCCAGCCAGGGCTATGTCAAGCCTGACCTTAAAAACTTCTAAAGAAGGAGATTCCACCACCTCCCTAGGTAACACATTCCAGTGTTTCACCACTCTCCTAGTGAAAAAGTTTTTCTTAATATCCAACCTAAACCTCCCCCACTGCAACTTGAGACCATTACTCCTCATTCTGTCATCTGCTACCACTGAGAACAGTCTAGATCC